ACTGTTGCCACTTTCAGTTGACGGAAAAGATGTTCCTCTCGTCGGGAAGAAACGGAAGTTTGACGCAAACGTTCCCCGCAGAATTCACGATATACATCTCTTTACAGACGGTTCGCGTACTGCTGACGGAAAGGCGGGGGGCGGATTTGTCATTTTCCAAGGAGGGAGAAAAGTTAAGACCGGGAGCTTCGGCATAGACCGCAAGGTCGAACCTATCGACACGGAAATAATTGCCATTTGCCAAGGTCTCTTTGCCTGTATACAATTTGCCAACACACGATTCGCCACTAATATATTAGTGCACACAGACAACAGAACAGCCGTCGGAATTGTGAATGGAAATTCTTCTTTGACGTGCCGAAAAGAAACAAAGTTAATTCGAGACGCACAGGAGAACTGGAATAGGCGTGAAAAACTCGCTCATGTCTCAAATGGTTTTATTTTTGCGGAGTGGGTTCCCGGTCACATGGGTGTCCCGGCAAATGAAGAAGCAGACTCTCTGGCGAAAGCTGGAGCTCTTAGAGTACAGCCGGCCGTACTTGAGAACAACCCATCCTTTGCGGCAGTCAAAAGTCATGTTTTGGATATGAGGAAACAACTCTTAGATTCTTGGTGGGACATTCACGGCCCTGCAAGATATAAAGACCTAGACATACAGGCAGGAGTACCTGGAAAATGCCCAGCCACGCTACGGATTCCCAGGAAAGCACTCCACCACCTTCTTTCGGCCCGTTCAGGGCACGGAGACTTTGAGAATTACCATGAGAGATTTAACCATACCAGCTACTCACCGTGCATTTGTGGGCGAGCAAAGTCCCCTATTCATTTTTTTTTTCTGCCGCTTGAAAAGAGCGACAGTAAGAAGATATACTGGAAAACTTAGAACTCAAGAGGCAATAAATTGGCTATTAGGCACAGAGGAAGGGGCGGTGGCATACTCTAGTATCATAAATGGAATGTAGTCTCCTCTGGGGAAATAAATGTAGGGACCGAAGTATTGCATAAGATTGCGATACTGGACTGGATTGTAATTAGTGCAGAACTGCTAGAAAATTTCGCTGCGGGCTTAGCTCGACAGCGCGTCCTTCGCCCCTAGGGAGGTTTTTGGAGACTATCGGAAGATAGTTTCGCCGCGGACGTTAAATGCTAAAATAAAATAAATAAATACCACAGCCAATGCAGTCGGGATTTGTGAATAAATATATCGAAAGTACCTTGCACTTCCAGCGTTCCCATAGCCATAACTTTCTGTTTCTTGTAGTTGACTTGCAGTCATAGATGGGACAGGAAGGCAGATTGATAAGTGCCCAGCAAGGGCGTTGAATAGTTGCTAGGAATAGACTTGATGCTTAATGGCTAACCGGTAATTCTCTTCGCCACAAGTTGATCCATTCTTTCCCAGGTCTGAGAATAGACCGATAGGTCACTATTGCCAGTGTTTGGTTTCAAACGCTAATTATAAATTCTGTAGCATTATAAAGTGAAAGGGCCTTGGCCTGCTGTATTAGCTCTAGCTAGTCCGAATCTTACGTGGAAAATTTGAAGTTAACGATAAACTAGGCCATCAGCGTATGCCTCAGACCTTCAGTTCTCATGGGTAGATCCAAGAACCGTATTTATCCTGCAAGCTTCAATTGAGGATGCCCTCGATACAATCTAGTCTTGGCTCATATCATCAACTTAAATAACTCCGGGTCCGTGGTGCTCTTAAATTTCTTGGTTTATTCTCTTCTTTTTACTGCCCTAAATCGTTGCAGGCTTATTGCCTCATCTAGTTATATTTTTAAAGGTCTACCGGGCTTCAGCTACGGCTAAGGCCCCATCCCTTGGGGGGACATGGTGACAACTACGTACTAAACTATGTAACACTAAATTGGGAGCCTCAAGCCCTTGAAAACTGCATTTGTTAAGGTGTTGTGAGCGCTGTACAGCAGGACTCTCACATGGACATGAGTCAATCGGCACGGATCGGGCAAATTTCCGAAAGGAACTTTGTCTTCTCCAAAATAGAAGAAAACCGTTTTGCACCGCGGGAGGAGCCAGGAAGTAAATCCAGCTCCCCCAGGCTTCTTCGGTAACCAGTAAAGGCTAGCCTCTCTCGAACGAGGAGGCAAAAAACTAGGTGGATGATTGACTTATTGTTGGAAATATCGCGCAATGTAATGGGCGCAATATTCATGGAACGAAAGTAGAAGTTGACTAAAAGAGTGTCATGTTCGGATTACGGCTAAAAGTGTGGGATGTGTGCGCTACAAGTACAAGTGTAAGCGACACAGAGACTAAGCCACAGCATAAACGAGTGTGGCGCCATCTAGGCATAGAAAACCCCCAATAACCTCCTTGCGCCCACGCCATACAGCCGCTCATATGTCCAATAGGTAGCCTGAAGCGCTACCATATTACCTACTCCAACCTCTTAAATACACACGAGATCGTGTCGGGAACCTAGACGAAATGGAGGGCCCATACGTCCACAACACTCCGTGTCTCCATTTCCAACACTTATCTGCCCCCCTCATAGTTACAATTGGATTTGTCCGCTTCCATTTGTAATGCTTGTTCATGTGACATCTATGGGTAGTAAGATAAGAATTTTTCATTAGAATATGATTCCTCTAGACGGATAATACAGTAGTTCTGTTACAGGAATACTTGGAAGTAGATTTGATAAAGTATGGGGTTAAATCGTTGCGTGTATCTACGTCTCTACGTCTACGAACTTAATAGAAGTACCGCGACCTCGCACCCACTAATGTATCGCTCCTAGTCTCATCCACACGCTAATATGAAACTACTAATACAGGGTATATAAAATCACCAGAAGCCTCACCCTTTTTAACTCCTAGGCAAACAATAACTACAAACCTAACTCCATTATGTTAAATTATAGGGATGATTATGTTTGACCAACCCTTCTTATAATTTAACATTTTTATTATAGTCCCTACTGAGTCTAAGACTATAAGGAATACTAGAATCTACCATTAAAATTCTGGCTACTTTTTCAATGTTAAAATGAAGTTATTGAAAGTGTTCCAAGAGATGTTTTTTTTTAAATCATTTATTGTGTTTTGAGCTATCTAGCTATGACACATGACCGGCGCTATGTATAAATGTAGGATGACTCTTTTGACGTTAGAGAAACTCATACTCTGGATTTCATTTGCAAATACCACTATGAGGTATGTTCGCTTACACAAACAGTCGACCATCCTCCGTTAGTACCCACCAAAGGGAATTTAAAAACTTTTGGCTATCCAAGCATGCCTTCGTCATTCATGCATACCAGCGCCGCGAGAAAAGTGGTTGTGTTTTGCTGTATTTGAACCAGCGATCTACTGTCGCAAGTGGAATATGTGTCCAAGCTATCCAGACTCTACTTAGCAGACCGGCCAAGAAGATGTACCACCGCACCATCTAACCATGGCGGTGTTTATAGTGTCAGCTGCACTCTCGCAAGCAAAGTGTTGGCGCGCACAAAGCTCAATGCGTAAAACTCTTGCCAAAATTCGGAATTTCACGCCCTTCGAGATTGTATCCTTCCTCTGCATCATCTTATCAATTTGTCCTGATCCCTCTCCCATTCATCCTAAGGAATTGTCTTCCAGATTTGTGCGCCACGCTTTGCTTCCTCCGTCGGGTGTAAATATCGGCGTGGGCGTGTATCTGGCGACAAGCTAAGGCCAGAGAAAGTCGAAAAGAGGTGTGGTCATTGGAATGAGGATGTATTAGGTCGTACTTGTAGACTTGATGAGGCTTGGGTATGAGTCGAACTCGTTGGGAGCGAAAAATTGACATGGCGGAGTATTTTGAATCATTGCCTCGTGGGTTAACTTTTTTGATATTGCGAAATTTGACTGAACTTGACTCTGGGAGAATATTTCACTCCCAGGTTCGTAGAGGATATCGCGTACAGGTGTTCAGTCTTGCCCTCCTAACTGCCAATTCATCTCGATTGGGAGCTATTTTTTGCCGAGATTTGTTCCGTAATTGATCGAGTAAGTTGTCAACCCGATGCGTCGTTATTAAAGCTCTCATGGCTACGATTATCTCGCAAGTTAAAGTATACTCCATTGTCTGTCAATAATTGATCTATTGCAGTCATTTTCGTGGTTTTCGGTATTATGATACCGGGTCGGAGTCTTCATCAAAACTAAAACCCCTAAAGGCTATTATTGAATTGGTGGCATTTCCTACAAGGGCCTGGTTATGATTGGATCAAGTTGGTGGATCTAGTAACTATCGCCCTGATTCAGCCCAGCTCTACTACTCACATGTACGTGAAAAGTGCGAAATATGCCACGTGCCAGGCACATAAACAAACATAGAATACCATTTTCACTATCGCTCACTTAATAAGAATTGGCGACTTGTGAAAAATTTACCGACAGTGACTTACAGTTGACATTCTCAGAGTGATAATTATTGACAATAGCAATCATATTAGTGGCTAAAATCAAAATTAAAATTTGAAGTGAAGATTTGGTGCAGCATGTTTGCAGGTTTCTGGCTTGCGCCAGGATGGTCAATACGATTATCAATCTAAAATTTCATGTAATTTACGTTCTTGGTAAAACCTAGGGTAGGGAGTTGTTTGGGAATGATATTTATTGGTAGTGGCTTTATCCTTTTACCATTAGAGGGGAAGTATGAAGTGATTCTAGGATTCCTACAAATAGAGTTGTGATATTTATATTTAATCTCAAGGATAACATCCCTCTATTGCTCGTAGAGCTAGCAATATTTGAGGCATCAATACTTCTATTTCAAATTTAATTGTAAATGCTCCCATAAAGTTTACGAGCTTTGACGCTCTGGATAGAGTTCAGAAAGGGCATGCCGGCTCGTCTTTAACGTTTAAATTTAGTAACATCTGAATCTCGAAGACCTCAAAATTACAAGAGGATTTGCGATGAAAGGAGCGTCTCGGCGTCGTATCTAACAATTGATTCCATTCACTAAGACTTTTATGAACAAGTCTGTTTCACAAAATCTTAGAGTTATGTCTTTACATCTGGCTCTTCACGTCCAATATACTTTTTGAGTTGTAGTAGGTTGGTTGAAAGGTTTATTTCTGGTTTCAGATATTCTTGTGCACTTAAACCATACGTGCTTGGGTCGCTTGTATGCTTCTCAATGTAGAGACGAATAGTGGCGCCTGAAGAGCCCGTTCCAGAGAGACGTACAATGGTGCGAGTTCCATCAGAAAATCTGATGAATAAACCCTGTTTGGAAGAAGTCGTTCCATCAAGATCAGTATAGGAAAAATCACCCGCATCAGTTATAGTGAGCTCTGGAAAAGCTTAGTACATTTTTCACTAAAGTTAAGTGATGGATCTTACCTCCTATCTTTGAACCGACGAAAGACTTATCTTGAATTTTATCCTCAAGATCTTTGACAACCTTTGCAGCATCTTCACTTGTTACGTTTTCGTAATCGTATCGAGTAAAAAAAGTACGTCCAAATATATCCCAGAAATCTTGCTGGATTTGGGCGATACTTGGCATTACATCAGGGGTTTCCATACCTAAGCTGGCAATTATATTCAACCAGGCCATTACGGCCCAAAGGCCATCTTTTTCACGAATATGATTGCTGCTTGTTCCAAACGATTCCTCGCCGCAGATGGATAATTTATTTGCGTCAAAGAGCGCACAAAAGAACTTCCAGCCGGTGGGCACTTCGTAACAGCCCACTCCTAGTCTCTTGGCAACCAAATCAACAGCACCAGATGTGGGCATAGAGCGTGCGAGGCCATATATGCCATTGTCTCTAAAGTATGGGATCCGGTGTGCATGATGAGCAATTATAGCGAGACTGTCTCCGGGCGAAACAAAAGAATTTGCTCCGTATATCATGTTCCGGTCTCCATCCCCATCGCTGGCGGCTCCGAATGGAATATTTTCCCGATCTACAGCTTCAACTAAAGATCGTGCGTAAGTTAGATTCGGATCAGGATGACCTCCATTGAAATCTGGAGACGGAATACAATTTTGCACACTTGAGCTGGGAAGTCCAAGCTCCTGTTCGAATATCGCTTTTCCGTACGGACCAGTGACTCCATGTAGAGCATCGAACCGGATCTTGAAGGTGGGCTGATGACAGAAGAAAGTCCTAATAAGATTGAAGTTAAAGATCCCTTTCAACATCTCAACGTAGTCTGCTGTTGGATCGATGATCTCGACCTCCAGGGAGCTATAATATTTTGACCCAATAGTGGCAATATCAATATCTGGTATGTCTGCAATCTTATAACTAGTCAGGGTTTTTGAGATGTTGAAAATATTGTTGGTGAGCGATTCAGGAGCTGGTGCACCATTGGCAAGGTTATACTTGATACCGAAATCATTCTTAGGACCTAAAGATATTAGATTTTAGTCCCTAACAAATTCTAACAATTCACACATACCACCGGCATTGTGGCTAGCGGTTAGAAGGATCCCCCCCGTTGCCTTTCGCTTCCTGATGATATGACTTGCTGCTGGTGTACTTAGGATACCACCTTGACCGATAAGAAGCTTCTTGACGCCGTATGCAACTCCAATTTTTGCAATCAATTGTACGACTTCAGGATTCCAATATCGTCCATCACCGCCGATGACCAGTGTGCTATCTTTAGCTCCCTCTGGTATTGCAAGAAGGATACTAGTGATGAATGATTCAGAATAATGGGGTTTCTGAAACACAACAACTTTTTTTCGCAAACCGGATCTAATCTCCTGTTAGATCTTACCAGATCATATTTGTGGCATGTGAGGGGATTTTCACGGGTAAACACTTACGTTCCTGGCTTCTGGTCCTGGAACGGCTCAAGGCTCAAAGTCTGAACATTCATGTTGCTCGTGATGTTCAAGTATATTTTTTCTTGTAGAGTAAAGGTACAGATCTAGGAAAATGTAAAGAATATGTGGCTATTTGTTAGTCACGAGGAACAGTTGTTGGGTTGGTGCATTATTCAATGCCAACTTTTGTAGAGAGCCAATCATCTGACGTACCATCAACCCCGCTATCCCACTACTCAACGGATATCCAAGTAGGTGTGTGAATCAAGCTTAGCAATCTGAATATTCTGTAGAAAATTGAACTATGAGAGAGTGTTATATACGTATGCAACAGCCGTATAGTCTTTATACCCCTAATTACCTCCATTGTGCTGAAATATCATCTTTTTGTAATACCTTGCTTCCTCTATGCTCTCTAGAATATCATTTCTAGCTTTGTGGCACAACGTTTTCCTGGGCAAACTTTCCAAAATCATCTTGGGGCTCCAGCGATTGGCTGCCTCTTTTATTGTAGAGACGTCAAATATGCGGTAATGAAGGTAATCGTGAAATTCCCGATAAGGTTCTTCCTGGAGGAAAAGCTTATCAGCATGAACGGAATTTCCCGCTAGCAAAGCTATCCGAGGCTCAGGTACATATTGTTTTACATAGCTGAGGAGCTCGTGGGCTGCTTCTTCAGGGCTAGTTATCGACGATAGGACGGCTGCTGTCAGACCACTTAGGCCATGAACTCTTGTGCACCATTCTCCCTGTAAATTCTTCAGTATAGATAAGACTCGGTAGATATTGATGATACCATATTATCAAGCGTCTTCTTCGGTTGTTGTATTACAGCCCCCCAGCCCTCCTCGTCTAGGACTTCGAGCTGGCCATTCGTTATTATACAGAAAATTTCAAGTATCACATCGCGTTTAGCATCGAGTCCTGTCATCTACAAATGCCTTTAGTGACCAACTACTTCCTTGTCTCACAAAATGCTCACCTCACAATCAATCCACACGAGAGGACTAGTACGATCTATGGCAGTCATATCTATGTATTTTTGACTATAATTATTTGAATTCAGTTAGATAAAGAGAATAAAGGTTCGATATTTTTATTAATTGTATTTTCCAGTGCAGTGAAATTAGCTTCACACAAGATTCAAAGAAGCAGGTGCTCAATTTTTTTGCCCGTTTTGTTTATAAATATAGAGCCTCAGAAGATAAAGGGCTGATTTCGATAATGTTATTCGTTCTCTGCTGTCATTCGTCGAGTATAAAAATTTTTACTAATTTAGAAAGTGTAGTGGCGGGCATATATGGGCAGACTTGGGAGAGTCTTATAATATTACAAGTGACAAGTACTTCGAGAATTTATCACAGTCTCGCCTCTGCTAAAGGCTAGTATTGAGCCACCAGCAATTACTTAGTCATGCCGGTTGCGAACAGAAATTATGGGTATACATAGCATGACATGGCGTAGGTGGAAAAAATAAGAGTAAAAAGTAAAAGTTGGATATCAGAAAATGGTTCTTACATGATGTTCAGGGTTTGATGTCTCACTTGTGGGTACAGCGCTCACAGTAAATCCCGCTAACGAATATTCGCTTCAAGGGGCGATACTCAAGATCATGTACGGACTATGTACTAGTCCAACGACGGCTTCCAACCATATTAAGCATGGCAAATTTAGCTGCCGCCTCTAGCACTGGCTTGCTAGTAAAGATAAATCCATCGACCAGATCATCGATACTTCGTTTACAAGCTTCAACCTTCATACTTGCCTCACAACCACATCCATCAAGACAACTTCACACCACCTCTAGACCAAGAGCTAAGAATGATGGCTTGCTTGGAATCTCGAATAGCCAACCTCCAACCACGTACTTCGCGCGACCGAGCTTACCAGCTAACACCATTATCCGCTTCGTCCCACAGCAGACAGCATGGATCGTAGAGCGAATGGGGAAATTCAACAGGATACTGAAGCCAGGTCTCGCTATCTTATGGCCATTTTTAGATAAAATTGCATATGTGAAAAGTTTAAAAGAGGCAGCAATTGAAATTCCAAGTCAAAGTGCCATCACAGCTGATAATGTCACCTTGGAACTAGATGGGGTCTTATATACCCGGGTCTTCGACGCCTACAAAGCCAGGTATTTTCTATGTGCACAATTGTTGTTGGATTAACATGTTTGCTAATTAAATGGAAAGCTACGGTGTAGAAGATGCTGAGTACGCTATTTCTCAATTAGCGCAAACTGCAATGCGCTCCGAAATTGGTCAAATGAGCCTCGATCACGTCTTAAAAGAGCGCGCATCGCTCAATACACACATAACCGTTGCGATTAATGAAGCAGCCCAGGATTGGGGTGTCGTATGTCTACGCTACGAAATTCGTGACATTCATGCACCCGAAGGTGTTGTAGAAGCTATGCATCGCCAAGTCACCGCAGAACGAAGCAAACGGGCCGAAATTTTAGAATCCGAGGGTCAAAGGCAGAGTGCAATCAATATTGCCGAAGGACGGAAACAAAGTGTCATACTTGCTTCAGAAGCTGTGAAAAGCGAACAGATCAACATGGCAATTGGTGAAGCAGAAGCTATTCTCATGAAAGCTAAAGCTTCTGCGGCAGGTATCGATGTTATGGCCGCTAGTATCAAAGAAGGTGGTCCTTCAGCTCAAGGTGCAGTAAGCCTGAGCATTGCTGAGAAATATGTTGATGCATTTGCTCAACTTGCCAAAAAAGGAACCGCAGTTGTGGTACCAGGGAACGTGGGGGATATGGGAAGTATGATAGCTAGTGCTATGGCGGTCTACTCGAAAGTCGGTGATTCTCACTCAAATATCATGGCCTCTCAGTCCAAGGAAGAATCAGAAAGCTTACCCCAAGCTACAGAAAGCTCACCAGGCGAGATTAAGAAGAGCATACTTGCAAGTTTCGAAAACGCTCGACAGAAGTGACCTTAAAAATTGAAGTGATCGTTTGCAGTGAAAATTCGTATAGTAATGGTATGTCATAAAATTCTTAGACAGCGGATATCATTAATTCTCAACAGCTGCCTCTAGGCACTTGTATGTGTAGAAAAATAACTTGTTAATAAGACCACTAAACACCTTTAGAGAAGTAGTTCTTTTATTTGAAGCAAATAGATTAGGATTAGAACTTCATGCAGCGAGACTCTGGTCCCTAGCTAATACAAATAAAAATCATCACTGAGCGTGAATAAGAGTTTCTGGAACAATCCCGATATGAACCCTCTTTGCAACCCAAGCAATTTGCGAAGTCGATTTGGAGGTACGAATAAATAATCCTTTCCAGGATTATCCTCTAAAACTTTGCTGTGGGTCAATATTTCTTTCAGTATAGGCTCCTTGGATGTATCAGCTTGCCAGACAATGATTCCTCGTCTACTACATGATTTATTCACTGCTAACAAAGCCATACTTCAACAAGAGCCACCTCAATCCTATGAGCATGATCTAATACGTTCATTAAGAAACAAATTTTTTTCGATGTCTTACTCCTGGCCTCAAATAGCCTATGTGTGCCAGCTAGCGACGCCAGACTTCCTCACAGGATTTGTATTGCTGCAAACCAAATTTTCATTGAGCAATGGTTGGGGAAAATGGCGAAATCTGAAAGCTTTCATAAGATGCCGCCTGTTAATGGCATGTATTTAGAAGGGGCATCGATTTGAATGCAGGATAGAATTCTCAAAGTTTAAGAGCACCCTTCGCGCTACAGTTTGGTGTGCGAGAGTGCAAATAACACCTTAAACATGGTGTAGGACTAAGGCTAAACACCTGTCGGAGCTGTCGCCTACGAGCCAGGGGTGAAATATTCCCTCAGAGCCCAGATTCAGTCACAAATAAGGTTGGGATAATTTAAATTTGATGGGTTATCGGCTTTTAGTAGTTGTAGTCAGTACTTCGGTTGATATACAGCCAACGAAGATTTAGCAAGCTCAAGAAGGTCGAAAATTCTTCAACACCGATATACGATTCACGAATAGGCCTAGATCTATCTATGGGTCGTTTCCAAATAACCTACAGTCCTCAAACTCCTAGTAGATTTGCGACGGAGGATTCTTCGCTCGATCCTACACTTGCGAACCACCTCGATACTCGTCATATCACTAACCTATACGCCCTAATGAGGAAATTCATGTTGGAGATGAGACGTATACAATAAAGGGAAAAAAGTCGACGTACACTGATGGTATCTCGTTTTTGCGCGGGAGTTCAGATCCCCAATGACGACAACAACCCAACGGTACGATATAAAGGTACAAGTCTAGAGTAACAATGGAGGCCTGAGACTTAATTCATGTTTCGGAGTTAATGAGGATATAAAAAGCTCGAGTGCGTGGTGGCCGAGGCTGAGTAATTTGCGCTACGACGTATATACAGCGGGTTTTTGGACGATAGGACTTGGTATGATTCAACACTTAGGTGAAGTCTGAGGCGGGACGAGGTTTATTATACTTGTATAGTATTTAATCTGATCCAGCCCGGCCCCACTCGTGCTCAAGCTCCAAGACAAGTGCGAAGGGTGTCAATTGACTAGCACGTGAACACGCAAACAAACCATGAACATGGTCTTCTACAGGCAGGGAAGTGGTATACCGTCCGAGCTGCTTCTCGAACAAATTCCGAGTATTCTTAACATCCATCCCATCTGTATCGGGATATTGCTAATTAGAACAAAGTAAATCTCGACTAAATCTCTCGTAGCGCTTATGTACGGGATGACGATTGCATAAATAGGTAATCAAATATTTTGAAGATTCTAGGAATATGGAAGACGATATTGAGGAAGACGTCAGTTTTGAGTTGGAGACTGAGTGAGAGTGCCCGCGCAATAGAACACTGTACAGAGTCTTGACAGAAGTCATAGTATCGTGATCATAGGTGGATTCTTGTCCCTATTTCCAATGATCCGCTATTCAATAAGGAGAACACGCCCTGGTTCATCTACCCTTGATTAACCGTGAAATGATGGGATGCCAAGCGTTTCTCTTCAACCCGATGCTTGGTCTAATGGACACTCGCTCCATAGCGCCTAGCTGATCATCCTATCATAATGCTTCACAGGGGAAATTGTATCTTCAGATTTAGTCCTGATGACGGTATTGGGAAAGCCCTATACCTAGTGGTTTTCGTGGTTCTTCCCGGGCCCCATGCACCTGTAAATGGCCTTCGTTTGGTTGGTCAGATAGGGCAGATAATGAAGGGCAATGGGCTCCTCGAACTGAATGATCGAATGAGGACTTATGAGGTGTCGTACTGTTTGAGGGGAGCTAAATAGGAGCCATAGGACAGTATATACCACTAGATAGGTATCCGTGGCTTGTAAGCAGAGAGGACCTGCATCTCCCATAAAGTCTGTAAAGGGACGAGAATCACGGAGGCTGTACGCAAAGGCTGACACAAAATAATCTTTGAGAGGCTGAAAGAATTATTTGTATATGTGCTTCTATGACCCTAGAAATTTTGAGCAAGCCTTCTATTTATAGAGGACATAGAAAAGTAGTAGTATATGTGTATGTGTTTATTATCCTATAAATTCTATGACTATGAAAGGACATGTAGGTCCTTTCTACCTACAGGCCGGGAGTGTCTATGCCTCGGGTAGTGTACACCCTCCTTTGCCCCCCTTCACAACTTCTTTCCAGCAGCAATACCCCCACAGGTCTTCATTCAAGTGCACACTAATAGGAGCCGTTATCCCGTCCGTATCTCCCCTCTCTAGCCAACTAAACGATGGACATTTGCGGGTGTGTAGCTGTAGGGAAAAGTCTCAAAAACAACTGGGTGCGGGGCTCTCCTATGACGAAGAGGCCAGCCGGGCGCAGCAGACCTGTGTATACCAAAGAGCGTCTCTCGACCTTCCTAGCCTCCTCCTTCATCTTTGCCTGATTCATCTCGCAGGACAAATCCGAGATCGTGAAAAGATGTCAGAAAAGTCTTGGTCGAGAGTGACTATCGTGAAGGAGCCTAGCCCAGCATCCAAAAGTCGTTACGGACGTGGGGTTGTCGGATAACTCATGTGTTTTAGATGCTCTCCTAGCTAGTATATTCGGAATTAAAGGTTAGAGGGGATGAGAGTAGCAGTAGTATTAGTTGTAGTGATTTTTATCCTGAGTTACTTGGCGGCGCCTAACAATCCGTAAATAACCACCCTAAGGTAATAAGGTCGTGCTAAGCCTGAATGTGGTATTACAGCTTGAAGTAGAGAGGAAAATTGCCCCAGACCGTCCAATGCACCCTTCTCTAGCACTGCCTCCCTCCTAGACCAATAAATACCTCTTACCACATTCCCTACACTACCCTGAAAATGCATGCCGCTGGAGAGAGAACTGTAGGGATCCCGGCCGTGGCGAACCGGGTAAAGATGTGCTGAGTGCTTCGGAGTTGAGAGAGCCTACCGCATCAGCAGGGGCATATTTTGACATGGAATCTTGTGACCTCCAAAAATTGAGAACTTAGAGGGGATGGTCAGGGGATTAAAGCTCAAGGCCTGTCAACGGTATCACCTACGAACTTCCAGCTCTTAGTGCAGAGTCTGCAAAGCCGATATTCAGTTGCACTTTTGTCCTCGCTTTGATGAGGTTTCCCAATCGCTCATGTGGCCTGTATTGTCTTCATCTCTCAGCATAGGTGCCTAGCACCATTATCATAAAGTTGATCACGATTCGATCAGATGGAAGGGTCGAATCCAAACTCAACGTCTATTCGTTTTTCTTGGTTGTAGAGGAAAAGTAATCCGATGAGTTCCCGGAGCGCACCCAGCACCTGATACGACGATAGTGGATTGGATCAAGTCGGCCTCGAATGTTACAAAGAAGGGAAATAAAGGTGGATATGCGCACCTCATGTGGTCTCGGTGTCTAGGCTTCGCCTAGCTAAAGCTGCAGGTTTTTTGAGACTTTTTCCCGTGCACGCAGTTTCCATTGCTACCTTTTTTTTGGGTGGAAGGTTCCGTGGAAAATGTGGCTGAGTGTTGTTGTTATTTTATTAAAGTCCTAAGCTAAAGCTCCAAATCCACTATGAGTACAGGACCGATGTTCACAGCCAGAACTACATCTAAGACATTCCCAGCTTGATTCCACCGTATGAACCACCACAAAACCAGCAGTAAGTTAAAAATATGCGCCGACGCGAACTCCTTTTCCAAAAACTGACAAAAGAAAAAGATAAATTGCAAAGAAATTAGAATGGGAAGCAATACTCCTCGCCTAGATTCCCATTTTGTCAGGTTTAGTTTCCTGACGAGTTATATTCGATCTCCACTGAGAGTAGGAGATGGATGCACAGGATAATACCCAAAACAATTGGTATCCTGCGCAAATTGTTTAAAGCTCTCGAAGCACTTAGGCCCGAGTAGCTTGTGTAAGAAGGCACTGTGAGACAATGATCCTCTGATTCGACGTGTGATGTTTGCGTTGAGTCGACAATGTATGAAGTGGGTAGGGGTGGTTTCCTCCCCACAGATGCACTCTGTGATAGCGTGTAGATTGTTGAAGCGACGATGGTACGCCGCGAAATTGCCGTGGCCCAAACGGGCTGCAATGAGATGTCGTAACTGTAGCCTGGAAAGCTCCAGTTCTGGTGGTTTGCGACGGCGCATGAGCAGATCTAGCTCACCATACCATGACGGGCAAGTTTCATTCCACCAGCTGTCGAGCAAATTCTATCGCTGTCGATGCAATTTTTGGTGTAAAAATGCTGTCGTGGTGGTTGCTGGCTCAGTTTCCACGCTGGGAAGCGTTCGTAGGGCGGATTTGGCCGCTGCGTCTGCTTCCTCATTTCCATGTATCCCTGAGTGTCCTGCTACCCACTTTATTCTTACCTGAGCTAGCCCAGATAATTCGTCAAACTTTCGTACTTCCTCGTGGCTGGTCGAGGACCTGCCCGCACTCAGTGCATTTACCGCATGTCGACTATCCATCAACACATTG